AAGGTTAAATTTCAAGTAATTTACCTCATAAAAAAAGAAGCTAACTCTGCAAAAAAAAATTAAAAAAGAAAAACATTATTATACATAGGATCCCTACATGCTATTAAAAAATTATTATTATTATTATTATTATTATTAACTCTGCAAATTATTATTATTATTATTATTAAAAAAAATTAAAAATGAAGCTAATCTTCTCGAACTCCCTTAAATATTCTTCTACTGAACCAGTCTGAGTTACATTTTTCCATTGTATCATAGGATCCAACATGCTATAATTAATCACCAAAACTCATATAAAAAGTATACTCCTTCCAACAAAGAACCCATTATGAATCTCACAGCAAATATGGCAGCAATTTAGTTGCAAATATGATGGAAATAAAACTGTCAAATGGCGGAAAAAATGTGCAGCAAGCTAAGCTGCAAATGTTGATGAAATAAAGCTGCAATGAACAGCAAATGAAATGCAAATGCAAATGAAATGAAGGCTGCAAAATCACAGCAAGCATGCAGCAAAAGTGGTTGTCTTTTACTTGTTTTAGATGTACTTTTATTATTGCTTTTTAATGTAGCAAAGTTGCCGAGACCAAAAAGCGCAAAAAGGAAAATTTTGAATTGTTTTTAGATTGTTTTCTGCTATATAAAGCAGAGATTATTAATGAGAAGATCTGAGTTGGAGTGTTATACTCCTATCCAACTTCGTTTTTGTTCTATTCTTCCTCTTCCTCCTGCTTTTCTCTCTATTGTTTTGAGAGAGAAAAAAATAATCAACAGTTTAGAAGATCAAGCTATTGCCATGTTTATTGGTGGTGTAAAGGAGGAGGTACAGCATTTTGTTGTTTGTCAACACCGTAAATCTGTTGTAGAAGCCTTTTCCTATGTTAAGCATCAAGAAGCTACTGCAAAATCTATCCTAAAGAAAACCAAATTCCAAAGTTCACAGGCCTATACCAGAGCTCTTCCACCTTTAGTACCTTTGCCTCCAAATGCTCAGAAGCTTATTTCCAATCCATATAACTCAACTAAAATACCACCATTCACTCGCCAAAATAGTCCCTTTATCTCATTAGCCCCTAAAAACCTACCCAAATCCAAGGGAACCAAAGCTTATTTATCATTATTTTTTTGTTATTTTAACCTTATCTTATTTATTTATTTCAATTAGTCATCTTATTATCAGAAGTCTCTCTTTATCTATTTTTTAAGTGTAATATAGGTATAAATTATCATCAAATTCCTAATTAAAAAAAAAAATAAAACAGTTATTTGAAACAAATAGAGTATTATCAACAAATTAGTGTTATGAACAAATTTTTTTTTCAAAAAATAAAACTGATATGTTCTTTTTCTGGTATGAGGTAAGAAAAGGATAAGTTCTGTTATAAAGAAAAAGAACAAACAATTCTGTTCTTTTATGGACGGGATAAATTCTGTCCTTGACAATGAAAGAACAGAAAACAAAATTGGGTATCTTGCACTCAGATTTCCTTAATGCTGACAAGGAATTGGAATTGTGGAAATGGTGTGTATTGCTAATGGTTGATTTGTGTGGTAGATTGGTTGCTGAAATTTTGGGGAATGTCATTTTTTGGTCTACTCAGAGGTTGTTTGCGGGGAAATTAGAGGTTTTATATTTAGTTTGTGGATTTAAGTTGATGAGTTAAGCTTTGCGAGGAACCAAAGCTTTATCAAAAGCAGAAGTAGACAAGAAGAAACAAAAGGACTTTGTACCTTGTCTTTTAATCTGTATCATTTTCTTCCTCTTAACTTTCTTTTTCTGCAATTTCTCTTCTTTCTCATCCTGATTCTGTCTCTATTTCTACCTTCTCTTCTGTATCAAAATCAAAGGAGAAAACAAAAATTAGGGGGGGAAACTAACCGTGGGCGGTGTGCCGATTTCCAGGCAAGGCGGCGGCGGTGGCGGTTATCTCCTCTGGCCGATGTTGTGATCTGGAGTCGGTGGAGTTTGGTTTTGGAGCACAGCTCTACAAGAAGAACAGGGAATAGGCACTGTAAATCCAAGGAAAACCAAACAAAGACCATCAAAATCCAAAATTACCGTCACTGGCGTGGGGACTTGGAGAGCAGGACGTGCGCCGGTCAGCTACTCAATGCAGCACGAACGGCGAAAGCTAACCTCGCCGGAGAAGAAAGGAAAAACAGAAGAAAATAGGGAAAGCGAGGAAAAGTGGGGAATATATAACAACGACAGCCAAACTTGTCAGTTATGCCAAAATCCACAGCAATTCTGTCGAATATATTGAAGACATAACCCCAATGAGCAATGGTAGGAACACTCGCCACTTGCACTCTCCAACCAACACTTCCATTTTCATTGGGCCACGTTACGTTTGTTTTGGAGGGGTAATCATTTCATAGCAAAAAGTAAGCTTACGTGGCAATAAAAAGGGCAACTAGCTAATTTGATACTGTCTGTGGATTTTTTTTACAATTTTTATGGGTTATTATTATTTTTTTTGACAGTAACGTAAGAATAATTTTTTTATAAATTTTTTGTAATTAAATTTAATTTTTTTATCTATTAATTATTTTTTTTATCGTTTTAACCTAAAAGATTTAGTTTCTCTTAAATTCATCTTTAAACTTTATAAATTATTTTACATTCATCCATTTAATAAACTTCCTTTAATTTTTTTCAACGAAATCCAATGGCACAAATAGTTTTAAAAAATTGTACTTTATTTTATTTTTTTTATTTTATCATTTGCTTATCTCAACAATGTTTTCACTTTCCAAATGAGATTTTTTCTTCATTCTTTTTATTTTTAATTTTGTAATAAATTTATATGTTTTAATTTTGATTAATAATTAAAAAAATATCATTGTCATTATTGAGATAAAATTATATCTTTTTTTATTT